ACCCACATGCACTTGCCATGTTGTAAAACACTGGGATCAATCACTCTTGCTGGCATAGAGCAGATCAATCATCTTCTCATCATGATAGTGTTATCTTATCAGGGTAACTGACCCTATTAGTTATAAATATAATGTCTACGATATGATTCTTGCTAGGCCCAAAGGACTTGAGGTACTGTCTCTGAAAAAGGTAAGGCAGCTTGAACTGATTAGGATAGACTACTAGACAAACTGATCAGATGACAAGGCATGTGACAATCTGATTTAGATATTGATTGCTCCCCAAAAGTGAAGGTTGTGCCTTTGTAGATGTAGATGACTAGGAAGTAAAGCTTACATAAGATGTTTTGTATGGTTATATTCTCCCATTGGATAACAAGTTTTATCAGAATATAAGACTTGTTTTAGTAATAATGAATGGCTTGTACCACATCTTTCCTATATTAGATTATGGACCACCATTTGAATCCCGGTTTGCATTGATTTGCTTAATAATTTGTAAACTCAGTCTCAAACCCTTTTTTAATCTATATTCTTACCACGGAATTGTTTTGTATGTAATTTTGCAGAGAAAACATCCAATGCAGGTTCTGGGTGAACCATTATCAGCTTAATCAGCATCCGTTGTTTCCATATGTACTATGTAATTCACCCTAAACCCCTTTAGTTCTTGTTAGCCATATACTTGTTTGGTGACCAGTTAAGGACTTCAAAATTGGCATGCAGTTACAAGCTGTATTTATGTAATTATGTTGCTTTAGATTATCACTTACTGTGTTTGAAATATCAAAATTTGAAGAAAAACATTTAAAAATATACAGTGAACCACAGCTCCACCGTCTCCGTGCACCCGACGAGCTCTGCTGCTGGCACCACCACTTTTTTTCACCCTCCACAGCCCTCAACCACAACCCATGAGAGGTAACATTATTGGAATTTTTTGAAGTAGCCTGTTAAAAAGGTTATCATCTTTAATCTTAGGCATCTAATTTAGTATCATAAAATCCAATGATTATGTTCACCACGTGGCCTATGAATTCTAGGCCATGCACTAGTCATTATTGATTTCAAATTTTTTCTTGTGAGTGCATATCCTTCTAGGAACCACTCATCCTATTCCCTGCAGCTAGAAAACTAATAAATAACGAAAATATGAGCCATAACAAGGTGGGGCTAGATGCCCCATCTAAAGTAGCATGCTTTGTTGGTTGGTAGAAAATAGTCCCATTTAGTTTTCTTTTAACATCTCAAACAAAATTTTGCAACCCAGTTTCATTGAACTCCTAGGCCCACCATATACCTCCCCATCTCTTGATATATAACTCCTAATATATCAAGACAGTGTATGTTTATATATAAATGCAAAAGATTCTAACGATTTGGTGACACATGCAAATTTTCCCAAGCATTACCAAATCTTATTACTTGAAACTTGTCTTGGTCTGTCATTTCCGTATTATTGCAAAACTAGAGCAAGAAGGAAATGAAAGTTGTGTCTTGAAAATGCATGTTAGTTTATTACCTGAATCAGTTTCAACCTTTCTGGTTGAACTAGAGTAAAGCTGTAAAAGTTTTTTTGTCAATGTAGTGCTAAATTCCAAAGGGACTTAAAACCCATCACAGTTCATTATGTACTCTCTCTAACATAACAACAACAAACTATGCTTCCCAGTCCAGCTCAGAGATACTGTGATGTGACCTATAGTAAGTTCACATGCCCCTAAACTGTACTACGTACCTTACAAGAGTAGTATTATTCTATTCTAAAACATTTATCCATGCATGTGCCCTTTAAATCTTACAAAGGTACACTGCATTATAGGAGGATTAGGACAGTGATATATTTTCCCGATTCAGCCATAGTAGTTTTGAAATTTAAAGGCACTAGTTTCTTAGCTCTGGTATCTAGAAATTACATAAAATTCGTGTCAAATGAGTAAATCATTTCTGGTGTTTGTTTTGTTCATTCACAAAATTCGAGTTTAAGATTTTACTTAATATAATAATAATAAAACTCCTTGTCATTTGAACTAATATGTGTTGGTGGAGTAATTAATAGTAAGGGAATATTTTTTCATGCAATTCCATTTAACTTGAGTACAAAGAATTTTGTTGTTATTTTTGTTTGCCCTCCTCATCCTAGGTACCAAACCTGAAAGTTGAATTCGGATAAATCCCAAACCTAATTACATCGAGTTTCTCCCATTAAATTTGGGTTAAGTTTGAGCGAGTACCCATAAGTTCGATTTTCATTGTCACCCTACCCAAAACTTTCACTCAGCCTTTTGCAGGCTCTCATTATTCAACGAAAAAAATTGTTTTCTGTTATGAGACACATTAAATCAGATAAAAAAAAAGACCATCCTTTAAATACGCCTCCACCCACATTGAATAATATTTATTATTTAACAATCAATTGGGGCCTCTGTAGCTAGTTAGATTAGACTTTAGACTTTGTTGTCTTTCATTAATTAACCTTAGGATACTTTTCGGCTCATTTACCTTGAAAGCTAGACACGATTGCACGTATCCTATGCCCTATTTAAAGTGAATAGAAAGTGGTGACAAAAGTAACAAACTATTATAAGTCACATCACACTATAATGGCCTAGGCTTCTATAGTGCAATTAAAGAATGGGTAATTAATGAACAAAACTGAGCAAGAATCCAGGGTCTGTTTGGATTTATGGCATCATTTTAAATAGGCCAGGTGTCTCTACTAGTGAAAAGACATGGTTTTTTCACTTTTCTTGAACTTTTGTAAATTGGAACACATGAAGACAGCAGCATCATGAGTATGAAAAGATGTGATGATGGTAGTTGCATCCATTTTCACGTTGTCACAAAACCCAAACTTTAAAGGGTACAAATGTGATTGCATAATTATAGAGTACACACCAAGGACCGGTCAAAACACAATCCCAATAGGGAGAACATCTTATATCTCTCAATTGTATCACTCTATGTGTCATCAGTTGTAATTGGTCGGAAAAATACTTTATAATTAAACTTTTAACTTAAATATATTTTTTAAATCAATCACAACTGATACCACATATAATGACATAAATTTTGATACATCATATATGCTCTCATCCCAATATCATATCATGTGCATGGAAATTTGAGCAGGACACAAAAGACTTCAAAAAATAATGAGTAGGTAGTGATGACAAATTGCTGCAATGTAATGGAAGAAAGGTTTTGGAGTTTAAAAATGCTGCCTAGGTAGATTAGGTGTTATGGCTTGCATCTATGAGTAAAAGATAGATACAACAATAGATTGAAATCTTATATAGAAAAGTTTAAATAATAAATATGACAAAACTTAGGTAAAGTACCATACGTGTTAGTGGTGCAGGTAACCTATTAGATGATGACATGTGACCTTTCAAGGTTAAAAAATGATTGATTGTAAATCTAATAAATGTTCATTCTTTGAAAGAAACAAAAAGGTATACATTTCATCTTATAATAGGTCATATATACCACTAGCACTTATGATTCTCTAGTCCTAATAAATAGCCTTTAGAGTTGGAAAGTGTGTGGTTAAGAAGCATGTCATGCAGCCCAAATCTTTTGAGGGTGTTGAGCAATATAAGAGAAAGATAGGATATGAATAAGATAAATTGTTATAATATCTAGTGTTTGGTATGTATCAAATGATGATAATAGTGTATCATATCATGCTTATTTATAACTCAGCTCCCCTTATGGGATATAAAATATACTAGATAAACAAGATAGAATAATTCAACATGTTAGCCATATCATATCCTATCACCTCACCAAATTCTGGATTGTAATAGAATGTGACACATTATCCTATTGTCTTATTATTTGTCATGGAGTCGAGGTTAAAAACTTCAAAATTGGATATGTTATATTGAGAAGTGGTGTAAATCCAATATAAAAATGCAATAACAACATAAATTATAAGTGATTCTAAAAAAATTCTCAAGCTATAAGTGAATCATATATTCTAATTTTCAAAGATTGATAGCTGCTCAAATATATTACACTCATAATACATTATAGTTTAATATCTATGCACTGACAGTGCAGTTTTTTACACTCATAATACATCTCTACTATTGATTTGTATTACTTATTTTTTAGAGTTAGTGATGATTAACATACAAATGATGGATGATGTATCAGTAGTGTAAAAGCAGTTACATTTATATACATATTAAATCCAATACATTATATATAATTAAACTTATCATTAGACTAAATCTAAAATAGTCATTGTAATTCATGTTGAGTTCGTTTTAGATAACAACCATCCAGGTACCAGCAACAAAAATTCTTAGGTCCAATTATGTGAATATGGCATGCATAATTCACAAGTAAGAAAATGTCAAATCAAAAGTAGGGATTAGAATATAAGATCATAAGATATTACAAACACTCAACACAAACAGACAAAAATCACTTGTTTCGAATGATGTTTTATTCCCTATTCCGAGCCAATAAGAATGTTACTTATTTTTTTTATATTTTTTTATTCATATGATAATATATAATTGGTACGAGACAGAGAATAAGACACAGTTGGAGACAAATAATTTAGACCCCAAAGCATGCGTAAGTGAAAGATGGGATGGGACTTCACCAGACAAAACACCAGCATTCTGGTGGACAATGACAACTGAAATTTGTCCAAAACGAACTCACGTGTTTGGACCAAATAAAATATGTATTTTATATATCTAAGGAAAAAAATTACATTGCGTTTTCCATCTTAAAAAATCATCAAATAATTTAAATAGAATAGAATATTATATTCTCTATTAATATATTAGAATATGTTTTAAATATTCTATAAATATTAGATATTCATAAATATTTATTAGATATTCTAGTAACAGAATATCTAATAAATATTTATAGAAGTATTAATAGATTAATATATAATTAATATATATAATATTAATTTTTTTATATTTCGACTTACCCCTAACATAGTATCAGACCTAGCTCTGCACAAATTGAATCGATATATTACTTATCGAGTACTATAAAAAAATGCGGATATAGTCGAATGGTAAAATTTCTCTTTGCCAAGAGAAGACGCGAGTTCGATTTCCGCTATCCGCCCCTACCTTTTTTATTTTGTATATATTTAATTTAGATAGTAAGTCTATAAAAATTGATAGAGTTTACGGGGATAGTCTAGGTAGAGAGTATTTCCCTTTATTCTTGAACCTCCATTTTTGTCAAAAAAATCTTGCGGAGACGGGATTTGAACCCGTGACCTCAAGGTTATGAGCCTTGCGAGCTACCAAACTGCTCTACCCGCGATAAAGAGAAGAATTGAAAACTAATGGTAAAAAAGTCATTAAATAAATATTTGAATGAGGAGATGAAGCATATACCAATCGAAATATGATGATAACATATAAACATAACTTATTTTCCTAAACTAAAGCACAACTTGTAAATTGAAAATAATCCGTAGTTCTACTCGTTTGTTTAATCGATCAACCCCACTCTCTCACATCGGTTTTGGCTTATATAGCTGCTAGCCTCAAAAGCATGTCTACATTTAGGAGTATGAATCTTCTACATTAATGCAGAAAGAAGTTATGTATAAAATAAGGTAAAAGAAAATGAAAAGTCAATTATATCATTTTATTTGCACATGTAATGATATTTTCATCCTTAAAACTCCTACTATACTACTTCTCGCTGTTTTTTTCTTTTTTGTTGAGCTGTTTGATTGCTGTTTAGTCCTGGATTCGTTTCAAAGTTGTCTAACTGGTTTAGGTTTGGAATTGGAATATAGCACCACATTCATGAATCAATTGTTAATTACAATTTAATTAAGAGAAAATGATTTATACACGACAATATATGAGTTTTATATAGTGTATCATTCATCATTCATGTTTAACCATTATTGATTTTTCAAAAAAAGTAATTCAAATGAATGATGAATGATGTAATAACTGTGTATAAATCTTTGTACTGACTGGGTATAGATATTACACTCTTTAATTAACTTCACAAGCATATCCTTTGTAGTGACTCAAGCCATCGTATAGTACCACGGAATGAGAAACATTTCCATCACAGTGGGGAGAACAACATAAAGATAAGGTCCAAAATAAAATAAAAAGCATTGAACTTTTGAACATTTATCATTCAATAATAGAGTTGGGTAGCAAATTTCAAATTGCTTGCAAGAAACAGGAAATGGACCTACCATATATATAATTAGAGATGGACCCATTAGGGGATAATCATGTCTGAGAGTTCTTTTTCACTTCAATGAGATGAATGAAGTGAAAAGATTTTATTATCCAACAAAAAAAAACGTTAGCACAAAGATGACCAAATTTGTGGATGTTGTTGCACATATCCATCAAAATGTAAGACACAGAAAGGGAAAATTTAATAGTGACATCATGTTAAATTATTCATTCAAGGATGGCAATTCGTTCAGGGAACTCATACTATGTCCCCAATCAAAGTGCACATTTTCTTTTGATTGCCACCTATTCTTCTGTGTTGGAGTGGTTGGTGGTTTTGATTGCCTTGGGTGGGTGCCAATGTTCTTTTCTGATGGAGGGTTGGTCGGAATTTAGATCTCCTTGTTGAATTTAGACAACTGTCAACTTTGGGTGGGTACTTGTGAAAGGGAACTTGAATGCCCAAATCAATATTTATAATTGTATGTTTTGGAAAAAGAAAATTGACTGATAATACATGTCGACGTTCCCTTATGGGTCGTCCCAGTAGATTCATCTATTTATACATGATGAGGTGGACTAGTAAGCACTCCAAGGGGAGATTTCTCATCATTGAAGATGATGTGGCCTTGTACTTTTCAGTGTATCAGATAGAGTGATAATGTTGTGATTTTGGACTACCCATGTTGTGTATGCAATGTCTTTGGGAAAGGAAAGTTTATGGGATATGCGTACTAACAATGTATCATCCACCATTCAGTCATCTAGGCCATATTTTATCTATCTAATTGTTGGCATCATTATAATTTATAAGTGGCCGGGCAATATTCACAGAACCTTATATTGAACACCACTCGATTGAGCCTAGGTTCTAATACATTAATTTTCCACGTTAAGGTCCCAAGAAATAAATTAATATATTATTACGATAATACATTAATTTGTAATAATTTAGCTAAAATAAATAGTTTGTTCTAATGCAAACAGAAACTAAAAGTAAGAGCTTATTTATTCTTTATTAACACCCAAATGATGCACATGCATGTTAGTTTGGGTGTGCAAGAAATTTACAAAATTTCCGAACAACTTTATTCTTTCTAATGCAAAATTACAATTTTTATATAATCATAAAAAAGATAAATATTTGTTATAACCTTAGTCATAGATAACAGTACATATATATATTACAGTCTAACTCTTATTACAAGTGTCCTAAGTTTTGATGACATTTAAATAGTAGTTAGACATCAATATTTGGGTTCACACGGTCGTGCAATAAAATAATTCAGCAGAGCTGGCGCCGCTTTGACATTCCCAACACTTAACAAAGTAAGATTATAAAAACAAGGAGTCATTGTCTCAAACTATTTCTTACATAAATAATGTTAAAACAAAAATATAAAATATATTAAATGATTAATATTTTTAATTAATATGACATATTTTTTATTAGCAATACATAAATTTATAACATAATTTAGAAGAAGAGACCCTTATTCCATAAGCTCAACATAAAATAAAAGTAATGTATTTGAACCCAAATCATATGGGTAATAAGGCAGTTAAAATTACAATTGCACCCAGACTTAGTAGAGGATGGATACATTGATTCCAAGAGTAAGTTTTTTAAACTTACTCCACGTTTTAGCCATCAATTCTAGGGAAATCTATTAAATTTCTCTAGAATTGATGGATAAGATATGGAGTACATTTACAAAAAACCTACTATTGGAGTAAATGGATCTCACCCTATTAGATAAGTTAAACATAATAGTATAATACCATAAATCTATAGATTTCTTTCCATTTTTATTTATGGAATGACTCTAATAACTTAAAGTCATAATATATGAGATTCAAACCCATATATTTATTTACATTAATCTAAAACATGTTAAATTTAGCCAACACTGCAATATTTTCCATTACAAGATTAGAAGAAAGAAAAAAAACATGTAATTATTACTAAAACTTGGAAAAGAAAACCACTTAACCGTTACCCTCTCGCAGTTTTTTTAACTCCTTTGGCAACCACTGTATTAGCAACTCCCGGTTCTTTCTTCTGCATAGAAGAGAATAACTGACCGAACCCAAAAACCGAACCGGTTAATGAAGAAACCGGAACGTTGAGAACCGGAGTTACTCTCACCTTAGCCGAATTAAACCGTTCCGTTCCTCTATCTCTATTCTTTAAGCTACTAGGACTACTCGAACTTCGTTTCAAATTATGAAACACTATTTTCCCTGACGAGTTTATTCTAGGGCTATCCACCGATACTCCCCTACACCCTACCGTACCTGATTCCTTCGCCGGTTCCCGGTTCGGACTCCGTCCAATCCGGTTACAACGCCGGTGTGATTCTCTGGCGTTGTCTGAGAATGCTTGTTTTTGCTTCACTAACCGGATTCTCTGGTGGTTCGGGTTCGGGTTTCGGTGGATTGAGATCGGGTTAGGGTTTGGTTTTTCTGAATCAAGAGAGAGTCGTGGAAGTTCAGCGTCGTGGATCGAAGAGGAAGATGAGAATGAGAAACGAAAGGATGAAAGTGAAGCATCATGTTCTGAATCTGAATGGTGTTTCAACAAAGGAGCGTTCTCTGGTGTAAACGGCGTCGTTTTACGATGGAGCAAGTGTTTGAATGATTTGTTATCAGAACATGAATTATATAACAACGTCGTTTTGTTAAGTCCTGCTCCGCCGTTGGAAGAGTATAATTTCTTAAACCCTAGAAGGTCCTTCCATGTGGTGGAGCATCGTGGAGCTTTGGGTGAGAAGAGGTAAGGGTCATCTTTCCGGTGAGAAATTAGAGTCTCCGGCGAGGGAGTGGTTACCGGAAGTGAGTGGTTGATGGAGAGAGGGTGAGGGAGTAGTTTACCGTCGGAGAAAAGCTCGTCGGCGGGGAGCATAGTAACGGGATGTTGAAGACGGAACTCGAAATCAGGAGTGTAGTCAAGGAAGTTATTGACGCAGGCTGATGCCATTGTTATATGAGAGGGGACAAGTGTTTCTACTGTTTGATGCTTGAGGAAGGATTCTTTTATAGAGGATGGTTTATGATGATTTTAATATATATTTATTAGATTATTTATCATTCATTTATAATACTTTTTAAAGAGTTAATGATAATGAATTACGATACAGTAATATGGTATAGAACTCATATATGGTTAGTATATACACTTTTTTCTTTTCATTTCTAATTTCATTCAAACTTAGAGCATATTCATTAAATTTGTTTTGTGTTGGCCGGTTGAACTGGTCTCAATATCGGTATAGTACAATAATTATACCGGTAAAAGCTGGTCAAAATCGTAAAAACCGGTCATATCGGCTGGTTTTCAATTGAACCGTATCGGTCATACCGGTCGATTTTTATTTAAAATTAATTTTTAATGAAAATAAATATAATATTTATTTTTTATTGATTTTTAAATATTAATGTTAATGTATTATATATGTATATTTAACTTTACCGGTATGCGGTTTAATCACTATACCATTGTATCAGTACCCCTACCGGTTTAATGACCAGTACGATATTACGGACTTAGAATGAGTCTAATTTATTGGAAAAGATATTAAAACATGTAAATATATCTATTTTATTTTTATTAAAATAACAATATTTATCTCATTTCCTACTGTGTAATTCTTATTTATGTATAAGAAATATTTGTATGTTTATTTATATAAGGAAATTTGGACAAGTGTGAGAGAAGTGGGTAGGTTATGAGATCAAACTAATAATAAAAATGTTTTTTTTTCAATACGATGAAAAAATGATATTATTCTTAATTTATGTGTATCTATAGTAAATTATAAAATAACATGTGAGTTCAAATTAGAATGAAATTGATATTTTTTAATAAAGATATTCTTAGTCTTCCATGTTCAAAAGCAATCATGTTATT